AAAGTGAAATGTTGCTTGTTCTCTGTTTGTTGGTAGGCTCCTTTGACAAACCAATCCACTGTGGTTTTTTTCACCCGTCTAAATTCGAACCAAACAAAATAATGTAACTTAAGCTCAGCGTGCTCTACAGCATAAAGCATACTTATTTTGTTGGCTCCAGAGTAACAAATATGGCTTATAACAGTCTGGCTCCAGTTGTGCCCTTGAGAGTGGTAAAATCTGAATTATTCAAGGCAATTAGTGGGAGCATTGCAGTGGAACTCAAATTTCAGCTCAAGCTTCTAAGAATAAAAACTAATATAAGAATAGGAATTCTACATATTGTGGAAAAATGCACATTCCTTTTTTCTTTAAACACCTCCAGCTGTCTGGGGCTCTGAGTTGGAAGGAAAAATAGCATAACAGACACTTGAACAATCTCAAATAGTTTGCTAAGAATTAAAAAATCGAGCCATTCACTTCATCAGATTATCTATACTTCAAACTTATCCGAAAGATTTATTGGTATTATTTTTACTTTATGTGTGGTTTGATTCTCAGGGACCCAGAGTACCAACGATTCCCATTTTTTTTTTGGTGATAGCCAAAAAATTTGAAGCATATGGTTTCTTAGCAATATTTCTGACTGTTGTTGTTTATTTTTATCCCAGGGCGTAGGAGGTTCACTCGCAGAGCAGTTCGGCGCCAGCACTTTGATGAACTCTTTTCCTGTCACCAGGAAAGCCATGAGTTTTTAGGAAGCACTCGAGAGAGGATGAGGAGGTAGTTGAGTGGGATGGTGTCCTCAAATGTAAAGGTATGTCAAAGCTGCTTATGGAAAATGTAATGTAGGGGTGTCTTGAAGGCCCATCCTCCCCTATAGAGAGCGGAGGGGAGAAAAAATGTGATGGAGCCTTGGAAGTTAAGGTTGGGGGGAAAAAAAACCAAAACCAAACTGTCAAGGAAATTAGGCAATTGGTTTAATAAAAGATGAAGTCTACTGGGTTTTGAGTTTAAGAAGAAGTAAGGGAGATTTGCAATGTTCCTGTCCTTGGAAGGTGGTTCCTTAGCAGAGCTGAAGAAGTGCTAGGGGATGGAAGCGGAGGGAGGCAATTTGGAAGAGAGTTAGGGGGAAGGGATACCAGGGAGAGACAGCAAAGCAGCTCCAGAGAACTCCGAAAAAAAGGAGAAAAAAGGAGAAAGGGCAATGGAAGGAGCATGGGTAGCATCAGGCGTTTTTAAGATGACAGAGGCTAAATGCACGTTTGTACCATGAGAGGACAGAAGAGGAGAATAAAATGTTAAGGGAATTTGCAAGAAAGAAAGAGAAAAAGAGTGATCAGGAGGAGGATTAGGACTGGGGCTCGAATGGGACACAGCCAGAGAGGGAATAGGAGTGTTCGAGGAGGAGAAGTAAACATATTTCTTTCTCATGGAGGGTATACAGAATTAGCCCAGATACATGCATCTGTGTTCTAGACAGCGAAAATTTTATTTGGCTTGCAACGAATCACCAGTTCAATGGACCCCTGAACCATCCTTTATTGTTCTTGCAGGTTAGAAAAGGGAATAAGGGATAAAGTCCTTAGGTCTGCTTAAACCTTTCATCTGGAGTCCACCTGGGTCCTGTGTTGCCTTTTTCCTGATGATACAGATTCATTTAGGGACTTAATTAATTGTTTAAACATGTAACTCTTTCCTTGTGAAAGATGCCAATAGCAAAGCTGACAACATATTAGCAATCCACATTACCTATGATTCTTGGCCAGTCATACGTGATAACATATAGAAAACAAAATTAAAATAATATCTGAATTGATACTAGCAGTTGGGTCGATTCATTAATCTGCAGGCATGATGCAGATATGTGTTTTACAACTGTCTCGCAAAATGACACTGCTTATATTAATTCCTTATTTGAACAAATACATGAAAAATTGTTGCCAAAATGTATAACTACATTTAAGAAAAGACCTCCAGTAACCCAAGTTTTTTGATTGAAAGCATTACCCATAAAAAGTTACCTGAGAATTTAAATTCCAGAGAAAATTGTGATTTAAATTTGCAAAACCATCAAAGGAATAATTTTAACAGATTCGCAGCTCCTCTTAAACAGATGACTGTGTGTTTGCAACTGAATGTTTGATAAATGAAAAGAGACAAAATGTTCTACTTTTCAGCACATTTTTATCCACAGCTGGTGCACAGACTGAGACTAAGTGTATGTTAGCTTTAGCCGTGATTTTTCAAGTTGAGGTTTACTATATTTAGCTCTACATATATTTAGAATTGATGGAAGTAAAATTTTTTAACTTTGTAAAATGTTGCTGAGCTGGACTTTGGTCCAGCTGAAAAATATCAGCGGTGCTTCTTGATCCCACGTCTATGATCTTGAGAATCACTGGCTCCAGGGACCCCAGCCGAACCCTGCGAGAGGCTTTCATCGCTCCTAACGGCAGAGCGAAGCAATCATGAGACACGCTCCTTCCCTTCCCGAATAGGTACACAGAATCCCTGCTTTAATATATTCGTAACAGAAGGTACGTAACCGTTTATTGGGATCGTACAGTATGTTTGAGGCATACCGTACACATTTGAGAAAAATAAAGGTACCTGGGGATTTGCTTAAGCATTTTTAATAATAGTTAATATGTTAGAAAATATTTAACTTGGCAGAAACTTTCAGTGTATATTTTTCTAAAAGGCTGTTTGCCTAACTAGTACAATAATAAAAAGGCAATTTCATATTCCCGTTCCTATTCAGGAGGTGTGACTCTGCTTCCACACCTGCTGAAACATTCCTTGAGTCATCACAGTAATTACGAACATCCTTAATTTAATGGAGCTGGTTTATATATTCCCTATTAAATGTACCCTTAACTTTTACAGAAATAATTACTATATGTATTCTGCTAATAACTTTCTTTGCGGCTGTGCAGGAGTTTTTCAATGTACTGCTTGC